TTCGGCGTTAGAGTCACTTGCCATTAGGACTATATCAAAATGGTTTCCTTTCTGTAGCGAAATTGACATTTTCTCATAGACTTCATTCTTTGCATCATCTGAACTGCAGTCGGTAGGTGTATAGGTGGAGATTACGAATAGGCATCGGTCGATCCCATTATCTTTCCTAGTTTTCACGAATCCATCTAGTCAAACAACAGATGGACGGCTGTTCACTGGTACTCAGTTGGGACGTTTACTTTCTGCTCTACCACATAATGCTATGCCTACACCAGCGAGTTCACGAGAGCTAGCCATTTGGTCTCAAGATACCCCTAGGGCGAAATTTGAAGATTCACTACTTTGGCTATATGAAGTCAATTTAATTACCACACTCGGGTCCCATAAACGTGTCTTAGAGACAAACCATACATCCGTGGCTCGAGATTCCAGTGTTCTGGAGAACGATGCTTTCCACCCTACTTGGCATAGAGTTCGGGCGTTAAAAGCCCCAATATAAGATTCGACGGTGGGGTCTCAACAGACTAGGAATGAGGTTTCCATGGCGTTGATCATTGGCAACGGTTGCAGAGTGAGAGGTTGGGTGAGGCGTAAGAGGCTTAATATCAGAATGTGAAGGCAAAGGAGGAAGCGGTGTTGTGGAGGATAGATTATATTTGATTGGGTCTTGAATCCTACTGGAAGCGTGCGGATGGTTGACACTTCACGTCTGCCCACAGCATGAAAAGCTAGTTCTTAAGGTACCTGGAAGAGAAAAAGATTTGTGTGACCACAAAGCCCATGGAATATCTGCTTGAGGCCTGTAACACGCTACCTTTTCCGGGATGTTACTTTTGGGTTTTCTAACGTCTGGTAGAGAGGACCCATACCGCCGATACCGGGAGACCATGGGGCAGGTGTAGTGTGTTATTTTGAAGTCAACCTTTTCTACCCCCTACTTCCCGTTGGTACGGCAGCATCAACAGGTCACTCATGTTCATGAAAGGGAAACACCCTACTGCTGTCACATCCCATCTAGCTAGCAGCAGTGCGACTTCGCCCTGAGTGTAGTCATTTGAACTACAACGGTAACTGCTTTTCGTCCTACCTCTATCCAATAGACCTTTCTGGCATGGTAGGACCTCGAGGGAACAAGCTTCTCATCAGCATACCCCGTCGAATCTTTAAGATATGCAAGCCTGATCACCACGTAAAGATAGAAGCTATCGGTCGGGTTTAGTAAGATGTCCATAAGTCATTATATCAGTGAGGGATACTGAGTTTCACTTGAAAAGGTACTATGATAATGTAGGGTTATCTCACCAACAAACTATGGGTTGATAGTGTTACTAATGCATGTGTTTGAATAACACCAACTGTTCTTTATATTCAAAAAGTACGCGACTGAATTCGATTTGTGTCGATCATCAAGATGCATCTCAAAGAAGTATTATCTTGTATAATGCATAAACTGCTTTTGCTATAAATGTTCACTACGCATAATGTCATGCCATAACTTTGATTATTTTAGTCATTATTCGCATTAATAGTGTTCACCTAGGTTCTACATCATCATTCATGTGATAAAATCACACATAGTCCCATGAATGGCCCATGAATGAATGGTTGTTATCCGTTGGCTCTGGTGTCTTCAGGTAAAATATTTCCATGGAGCAATTAAAGAAAAATGTAATGTCAAGGATAGGGCGACCGCTTATTTAGTGAAAAACCCATTTAATGCGGATAGTTTCTATAAAGTTCTTCATCCATTGTGTAGATTCTATTTTGATGTAAATAAGCTGTTTCTAGTGACATCAAATCTTAGATGACATACAGTCAAGAAATTTGAAGATCATAACACACTTTCCCCGCTTACCAAAAAGGCCAAAAGTTGATTTGGTTACATAATTTCGTTATGAACCTGAAGAAAAGTAAAAGAAATATCACTTATTTTATGATTCTGAGGATAGATGTGCTGTCAACGTGTACACCTGAAAACTAAACAAAGAACTTGCTAAAAGACAAATACTCTTCCACTGTAAGTTATATTTCCTTTATCTATCCTGTGTCTTGCAGCTTATACGAAATTCAGACTAGAACCATCAGTTATCTCCTTTATGTTAGATAACAAACGGTGCAGTCCTTTTAGTTTCCGCATATATAATTCCTAGGAAAGGAAGATAGATGAAACACTTAAGCATAGACATCCCAATAAAGGTCGTTATCATGACTAAGAAACTAATGAACTACTTGGGATTACCATGGCATTAACTTAGCATGGCCAAACAAGTGTCCAGTGACTTCTGACCCCAATTTTCTGGTGAATAGCCTCGATAAAACAAACGTCCCATAAGCGTCACTGACTGGAAAAAAACTACTGTTGTGGAATTGAAGCTTGCAAGATAATCACTGTGGAAGTAAAGAAAATTACTATGAAGCTGATAGATAGTACGAAGCACTTGAAACGTATTATGCTTGGAGGCCTCTTGAAATCATACGTCGTGTTCCAGTACACTGTGCTTGTAACAAATATGAAGTTCGCACAATTGAAATTCACGTTTTATGTAGTATTACTAAGATATATTTTGAGATATTTAACGGTTGATCTTTCACTAGGAGTAGTTAAACCAAAGCTTTTCAGTACATCTGAGATTAAAAAGGTTGGAAGTTAGTAGGACATTGAGACTAGGGGATATTTACTCTGTCTTAGAGACGGTACATGCAAATAAAGGAAAAACAAGAAGGCCATTAAGGGGCATTGTAAGAAAATCGGTTGTATACGACAGAAACCACTCGTACACATTTAATGCTTCATTATACACACTTATTGCGCCTAAAATGACATTTTTATGAATAATAATATACGTAGCAATGTGGTAACTTTTCAAGTAATTTTTTCACCAACTGGCATTCTTCGATCTTGAAGGTAAGTTCACTAATTATCAAAATCTGATGTGTTGTGCTAAAGGTTATAGTTCCCATAGTTATGTTAAAATGACTAATTACCTTCCGCTACATTTACTTTATTTCATATTATGATAGTCTTTACAGTAAAACTCACTGACTCACTTGAAGTCAGTAATTAAATATCATTGTACAAGTTTGTTTCGTCCTAATAGTATATACATACACGTTTCGTATTCATCGAATGTATACTAGTCTATATTGTTTACAATGACATAAAATATCCTCTGTAGCTAGCATGAGATGAATCTACATACGTAGAATGTGCTAAAGATCACATATGGACACACGAATACTGAGTTAATGATAACTGGTTAATGTGAAGCCAGAAGCATGCAGGGCATCGTGATCTTAGTACTACGTGCCATATGCGCATATTTTTGGATACACCATGTATGAATATGCCCAGCCGGTAGAAATTTTGGGCGCACTTTAAAGTTGTTGGGCAAAAATGGCAGAAGAACTTTGGGGCTATTGAAGACAAGGTATCCTTGTTCCCGAAATCACAAAACAATTTTCTCGGAATCGCCGAAATTGTCAGACTGCACCCAAGTTAACCAGATCGTCTGCACTACACCCAAATCTGTCAAATTGTCTGCAGTGCATCCAAAATTTCACAAATAAGGCATTCTGACAGGCAGTAAGTAGTGTACGTGAATAAAACTGGAATGTGTGGATGCGAAGTCGTAATATATGAGACCTGTAATGATTTACTAACTTCCTGAAGACCGTAATCTTGAGAGATGTAATTTTTTTTCGGAGACATATCTAAAAGGTACAAATTGCACCCAGAAATGATTTCGAGAATTACCCAAAAATGTCAAAGTATACCCAATCGGCTAGTTATGTGTTTGCCGGCTGAGTGGTAGGAGTAGGTGAAGATAAAAGGAAATTCTGGATGAAGGCTGCCAATCTCCGAGGTAGCATGTATTGTTTTGGAGAGACCGTGAGGTAAAACACGTGACTTCATGTAATATTATACGAAACTATCCCAGTCGATATTTTCGTCAGGCCAAACAGGGCAATGTTGGGCCATGCACTGCAAAAAACATCCAACCAAATGTAGGACCACGCGTAGACTTTCTAACATTTTCACTTTATCTGGCCAAATAAATTTTGGCCCGACTTCTGGTCCCAAGCACTAATTTTTGGCCTTAGACCCAGCCAGCATTTACCTTGGGCGCTCCTTGGAACTTTCGGGTTTCGCCTGAAGCTACTTCGGCGGCACTCAGCAACTTCTGGGTATTCCCACTAAGTTTCACAAATATTTCACTTGGTCGCTAACATTTTATTGACTTCTATAACATAAACACATATATCACATAAACGTCAAATATTCAGATCAAAATATTACCGATTAGGCCTTCTTATCACTTGGGATACGGGTTATTACAAACCTTCAGGTGCACTACAGACACTTTGGGAGCATTCCAGAAACTTAGGGCGCACTTCGTGGCCTTTGACACTTTCGGCGAAAAGGTTCGGAACATTCAGGGGATATCGTGCGTTGCCCGATATGCGCTTGAGGTAAAATTTTCGGTTTTAGCCCGAAACTCACAATGTGCGCCCGAAGCTAATGAGGGCTGATTCGAATCAGACCCAGTGCCCCTTCATATGGCCTGACCAGGAAAAGTGGCCCAGTGTTTGGCCTTATGTGCACTAAATCTAGCCCCACATCAGATTCACGGCCTGAAGTTTCCCTATTCGGCCCGACGAATTTGTTGACCTTGTGTGTGTTCATGATCTCATAATATTAATCACACATGCACTAGATGTCAGTCGTAACACACAGAAACTAATGTATATGAACTATTTGTTGTGCTTCTTTAAGACTCGCTAACAGATTTCTGTTCAGATTACCCTAAAAGATTTTCTGTTTTCTCCTAAAATCTAGTTATAATGTTCGTGCGAGATATACTAATTGCTTTAACTTAAGCTACTCAGCAAATGTAGTAACATGCATAAATAATTGGATACAATTTATTTTAACTAAAAAACAGTTTACTGCGATAAGATATGGATAATACTGATAGAAACTCAAGAAACAAACATTGTACCGTTCAGTGCATAATATGCTCGTAAATAAACCATCACCTAGGTTGCAGTTTCAACATTTCAAATGGCTGTTATCTAACCCAATATCCAAAATCTGTTTGGTGGGCTCGTGCAAGCTGACTGATTTCTACGTGCTAGTTTCTTGGTCTTGTGATACGGTTCGGTGTCTATGGCGGACGGACAGAATAGAAAAAGTACTCGCTAAACGAATACGAGGGCTTTTCCAAAAGTGGGTGACTTATCACGATCACCTAGATTCTTGGCATTTTTTGTGTTTACACACCAAAGGCTGTTGAAGTTTTGCTCTAATCAGAACATTATTCAACTTAAATGAAACGGAACCTTTCACTGGGTGAATTTCTGTAGTTCCTTCCACATGGTGAGCCGAAAACGTCGGGTGCCGTGTGCAACTTCACAGTGGCCTCTGGTATGCAGTCCAGTCAACGTAAGAGTCAGTTCCATGACTAATACACAGGCGCAACACCTTCAGCATGTAAGAGGTACAGTCAGGCAAGAAGTGCCTGGCTTTGCATGCTGTGCTGCTGGAATATTCGCAATCTGGTAGAAGAAACAAAAGCACTCACACATATGATGACTGAGAAACTAGCTTCGAGAGCCAGAGTCGATAACTGTGATGGTGATAACGACACGGCATCCACTGACACACAGATCTCTGTGCAAAAGCTTGAGGACGTCCCACGACAAGCTGTAAGTTGGACTCGTGGACTACCTACTAGATTTCCTGACAACGGTCTGGAAAAAACCACACCAAACAGGGTGAAGAGAATATCTTCTGATTCTCGTATCCCCAGGGCTGGCAGACGAGATCTGAAAACCACTGACTGTAAAACTAGGTCTACTTCAGATGAAAGAAACAGGAGTGAAGCACTCTCAGCGCCAACCATGGAATCAAGCAGGTTTCAGGTCGTACCCAGTTTACAGACACAATCGTTGGTGAAAACTAAACCGAATAGGGTGCAAGTTCGCTTTGAGGCTGTCAGGGACACTGAACTGGGCTTTGGTAAACCTCGCATTCCAGACTCTGAGAAATGGCAAATAACCAAGTGTGAACGGCATGCCCAGAAGCCAATGACGGTCATCCAGTCAACTGTCTTCGCTCCCCAGATCGACAACAAGGTTAAGCTCCCTAACACGTCTGCGATCTTTCACAGAGTGGAAGAAGGTTGAGATCCAGAACCACGTTAACGTTTCGAACATGACCTTGGTGACTCAACCAGCCTCTACCAGGAAGCATGCCAGAAGTCACTCTACCCGAGGTATGCAGAGAAGGCGAGCAAGGGACAGTCATTACTGAAAACAAGTTTCGGCTACTTAGAGTCGTGTTAAAGTCAACAGATGGGAGGGGTCAGATTATGAAGGACCCTCGCAGAATTCAAGGATCTGAAATGGTTGTGAGAGAGGACTTGGCTCTTGATGATTGAATCGAAGAACGGGAACTGTAAGCAGACCTATGGTCCAGTTTGGCAGCAGGAGAGTAAGATCTGAAGGTAGTGGGTTTTCGCGTGGTGAGTTTTCAGCGACAAATGATGCCGAAGCCTCTATGGATAAGACGAAAACTAGTTTAAGTGGCTTCATCGTCTTGTACACAAATGCGCGCAGTCTCTTAAACAAACGGACTGAGCTTAGTAATGCGGTGAGCAACGGAGGCCTTGACATCATTGCTATCACACAAACCTGGCTCTCTTCTTGGATCAGTGACTGTGGAACATACTCACGAGGATCCGTCCCTCTTAGGAGTGACAGGTTGGCAAGCAAAGGTGGTGGTGTCATGCCTTACTTTAGGAATACCTTAAATGCAAAGGCCATAGGAACGGTTGCACATGACAGTGGGACATGTGAAATGTGCACAGTCAACTAAAATGCATGTGGCAAGATGCTGACCTAATGCAGGGAATGGAAGCCCTGATTGTGAGGCAGCAGACTTCCTCTTGAATAAGATGACCCTGTGAACGGACAAATGCTGCCACTTAGTTGTAGGAGACTTCAACACACCATCAGTTGACTGGGATAGACTGACAACAAAGCACCACGCAACTCGTCCTTTCATGCGCCGGTTAGTGGAAACATCAATTTCCTTCGCCCTCATACAGCACGTTAAGATAGCGGCCAGATGTGATTGTCAACATACTCCATCAGTTCTAGACCTAGTATTCTCGCACGCAGATGATGTGTGTTTCACCCCGCACTGTGGTTGTCTCCAGATTCACAGCGGACGTCTTGTGCCGGACTGATGTTCCAGCTGGACCCAACAGGTGAAAAGCGAATATGAGAGCTATCAACTTGGCAGCCTCTTCGGAGGACTGGACAGAAAATCCAGGAGCCTCAGTTAAAGGTCCATGCGCTTCTTCAAACAGTCATATGCACGAGTGACCCAACCGTTCATTCCGTGGACTCTCCAGAGGGGAGAGCAACATTGTCTACCCTAGACAAACCATGAAATCCGAAACTTGCTGCGACATAAGAACGGGTGTTGGAGTCTTGCCACCCAACTCGGTACACCCAAAGTGGTGAAGTACTACAAAGAAGCTAGAAATAAATGTATCGCTGCTATCCGCCGGTCTCGATTCAGTTTTGAAACGCGTCTCGCCCAGGCTGCACTGCAACATTCGAAAAGGTTACTTTCCTATGTAAACCACAGAAATAAGATGTGTCATGGGATACCCGCCCTAATCATAGGCCCCGAAACTGACCTTTTGATTGAGGGTGAGATAAAGTAGAAACCATGGTTGGATATCATTCTGAAATCTATACAAAGATATCCTCTGTGGACACTTATCCAACAGCAGAAGCACTGACATCCAACAGATTAAACTCTGTGGGTATCCATCTCAATGATGTATTTGGGTACTAGGTAGTCTAGACATGGAAAAATCAACGTGACCGGATGAGCTCCACCTAAGGCTGCCCGAAGAGCTTGCCCTCCATGTGGCCAGCTCACTGACTACTATATTTAGACTGTCTCTCAGTGAAGGCACACTCCCCTATGACTGGAAAGATGCCACGGTAACACCTTTCTACAAGACAGATTCTGGGCAGCACCTATCAAAATACAGGCCGATAAGTTTGACTGGTACTGTAGTGAAAATCCTGGAAAGGATAATCAAGAAAACCATCACAGTCCACCTACGGTGCAACACTTTATTGTCTCGTTCACCGGATTGCTTTCGTAGAAACTTATCTAACTTGACTAGCCCCCTTGCGGTCAGACAGAGAGTTGGGCTAGGTCTAAAGATGATAGGATACCTGTAGATGTCATTTTCATAAACTTTAGTGAGGCTTTCGACAAGGTACCTCATTCCAGGTTGCTTGGGAAAGTGGAAAGTTTCGGGATCACTGGCATTCTGTTCGCATGGATAAGAGAGTTCCCCATTGGTAGAGAGTGGAGTGCCGCAAAACACTCCCGGGCACCCTGTTGTTTGTCCTATGGTTATTTGAACTGCCAAATATTACGAAATCTTCTATGGTTTGACACGCTGATAATGTAAAAATCTGGTGAGATATTTGGAACGATGACGATATACTTCAGGTAGACCTAAACAGCTTGTTTGCCTGGTCAGAGAAATGGCTGATGCCTATCAGTGCAGAAAAACGTATGTGAGCACACACACACAGAAACACCTATGATATTGGTGCTACTTTTCTGTCGTCAGTGCTAACTAATAATGACCTAGGAGTCACAGTGGTTTATAACTTCACAATCTCAGCACCCTGTGGGCTGGTGCCAGCTCGGAGTTTTAGGACACCTTGGGCATTATGTGGAGCGCTTACGAAAATGGGTGGCGACATGTTTACCATCTTATACACATCCTTGGTGGGTCTAAATTCAGAAACTGTATACACACGACTATTCGTTTTCTGAAAGGTGGCTCAGACCCTCCTTAGAAAGAGTTCAGAGGGCAGCCACTCGTGTTATCCCTGAGATGACTGGCTCCACCTACGAATATCTACCTCAGGAGTTCAATCTCCTCACCTCGCCCTATCGTAGACATATAGGAGACCTAAATATATCATGCAGAATTCCAAAAGATGACTTTGGACCTGATCTATCTTCGGTTTTTCCTCCCGCGGGGTTGAAGCACCTCAAAGGACAGAGTAGGAGGCTGCGAAAGCAAAGAACGAGCATAGTCTCCACAGAGCACTGGCTGTCGCGTAGAGTAATCAACGCCTGGAACCGACTCCCAGGAGAAGCGGTGTCCGGATCATCAATTGGCTCGTTCAAAAGGGGGTTGGCAGGCACGGATATCTACTGGAAGGGGATTAACATGGGTGCTCAGCCTCCTGCCCTCAAACGGCAAATCTGATATCCGAATCTTCCGCGTGTAGACTTCGCGAACCTCTTTTGGTTGCTATTCCGTGTACAACTAAAGAAGGAACGAAGGTTGGCGGTCAGATTTCGAAAATCCGCTTACTTCTGAGTAGATTATACTGGCATCTCAAACAGGATAAATATCAAGCTTGTGTTTAAGGAATTCATTTTGAAACAAATTTCTGGTGTGCAATAGACGATTGTCGTAACTGATGGACGGAGCGATTCCCGGTTTTTTCAAAAAGACTTCAAATGCCTCCTGAAAGCAAAATTATTCACAGTTTTGACATCTCTTCTGGTATTCACCATCATCCTGGTACTTGAATGCTCTTCGTCCTCTTCTGAGGCGTTTCAGCCTCCCGTCGGCGTAGCATCCTCCCTTTCAGATGCTTTAACTATGATCACAGTACAGTGCCATCATTGTGACGGTATTTGCTGTGCAGCGGTGACCGGCGTTGTTTTTTGTCTGAAAGACAAGGACTAGCTGTGGATGGGGATTGTTTGCCGGTCAGGAACAAGAAAAACAATAAGGGTATATGAGTATAAACAGACAGAGCAGGTTACTGTCCAAGTGATTTTTGCGGTGTATATTCCATATATGATATGGGTAGTTAAAATATTAAAATTCATGTATATCGGACAGAAGAACTAGTACATAGCTAGTACAGAAATCTACTTTACAGTACACGGATGATTCGAAATGATGGGG